GAAGGAGCCATCCTTTTTTTTCTCATTATTTAAAGCAGTTTGTAGCATCTAGCAAGAGAGAGAAAGAGAGATAATCCACTCACTTGAAAGYGAAATGACCCTGAATTTCAGAAAGCAAAACAAAAGCAAGCAAATGGTGCCACCATGCTCTGCAGCAGTGACATTATTAAATGATCAGTGAGCTATTAAAGCAGCAACATTTAGTACCTCCCCTAATGACTTGTACTGCTAGCTGGTTTCCAAATTGAGATTTTTATTGCCTCCACGCACAGACAGAACAGGGCTGTGTGCTTCTTGAGGCTCCAATTTAAGCAGACTGTTCACAACAGGATCAGTGAATCTTCTCAATTGAAAGCTGATAATGACTTATGGGATCTCCAGTCCTCCTTTCTTCTCTTCCCTATCCAGTGCTAGGAGTCTCAGGATGGGAAGGATGGTGGGGATAATAAATATGGGGGATTCTGGGGAGAGCCCTGCAAGATTGTTGTCTTATCTGTGCACTTCTTAGCATCTGTGAAATTTGGCTGCGTTCTGCAGGAACAGATTGCTCTGAAATTTCCCCAAGATGTCTAGTGCCATTCAAAGAGGGAATGCGTGAGAACTGCATTTCCGAGAGGAGTCTTGGACACACTGTTTTCCCCTTCCGTGGGAAATAAGGAATGTGGAGGAGCAGTGAATTGATGGGAGATGAAGGGAGAGCAAGGGGAGCCATGGCAGCTGGTGAAAGGTGGAGATTCACCCCAAAGTTTCCATTGCAATTCCTCTAAGTGGATTTTCTRGGGTCTGATATGAGCCAAGATCATGCGATTTGAACAGCTGGGAAAYGGCCTTTTGGCAAATGTGGTTGAAATTAGGTAAGGAGCACAACACATCTGAGTGCAGAAGAAAGGTGGATAAAAACAAAGACCTACACAGAAAATAAAAAGCAGCAAAGGTGGGTTCTGGTTGTAGATGCAGTTATTTTTGGGCTATTGATATATAGTAGACCAAAGTAGAGTCTGAGTCTTCTGTGTTTCTCAAAAAATARGAAAATGCCATTGCTTTGGTTTGTTTTCCTCAGGTAGTTGGGCATACAGAGCCTCCTGCGCTTACCGAACAAACCAGACCATTCCTCACACAGGCAGGGCAGTCACAGGGGAGCTTGTTTTTGCCTTTTCTCTGTTTTTATGGAAAGGTGCCTGATTTCCATGACAGATATTTCTCATCCTTTGCAGAGGCAGCGGGCAGGCAAAGCATTGGGGATAGGATGACTTGAGAGATTAGTAGTTGAACCTGCACATTTTTTATCCTGTGCTGGTTTGACTCGCCCTACATCAGTACGAATTACGAGTTGTTCACAGATTGATGTGAAGGGTGCTTTTGGGACCCTTATGTAGTTCATCTGCCTAATTCCATGCAGAATCCAACTTAGATCAATTGGATCTAAGCTGTTGTTGTCTGTTATGGGTTTAATCTGTTCTTAAAGACCTCCATTCTGGAGGTTCTCAGATGTTATTTCAGTGGTTAACTGTTCTTATCATCAGAAAGCTTCTCCCAAGACCTAAGATCAGTGCAGAATTGCCTTCCTTCAGGTGAGATTTAAAGCAGAGTTGTGGGGCATCATGTMGGACCTTGTGCATCCATTTCCTTGGCTGCACCTGATCTCATCTTAGGGCCTTCTTCCCCAGGACGGCTGGTCACACGTTTCCCACCTCAAGAACACACGCAGTGGAAAGAGACAAAGCTGAGGGCATCAGGGCCAGTTCTGGCAGAGGAACCTTCTGAGACTGGCACTGACAAAATGTCCCGGAGCATTTCCTGAGTCCAATTACCACTTTGTGTCTTTCAAGTGCTGCCTAAATGAAAGAAACTACAAGATCAAGCCACGTTAGTTTTCTCAGTCCCTTAAATGTTTGACAGTCCTCTCACCTTCTTTCTTGCTTTCTCAGGCAACTTTGAACCCTTAACCTTTGCTGCTGCTTTGAGTTCAGCATCTGCAGAATCCGAACTACCCCAAGCCACCMCCAAATTCCAGGAACAATCACAAAACTCTTTCAAAGCAAGTGTCCTCCCTGGAAYGGGAAAAGTTTAAGCTTTCTTTCTAAACTTGAGTGTGTGTACAGCTAAACCCATCTTTCAGCACAGTCAGAATCTTGCTGGGTCCTGTAGCAGCTGCTGATTAAACCAGCGCTGTTGCACACAACTGACTGTCACCATCCATGTGGACAACAGCCGCAAACATCAGCTGTTCYGGCTCTTGGGCAGCACAGAGATGCCTGCTGCACATATGCTATTAAGATGCCAATTAGTGCATCAGGGTAGTCCCTGATACAGACGGGACAGGTTCCTGTAACAATCCCAGGTACAGAAACTACCCAAGTGGGGCTGGATTGATGGGGAGAGAACAGCAGTGTCACGAGTCATCAATAGCCCTTAGACTAGGGCCTTGATGGCAGTGCAAGCCGGGCTCATGGCTGGCTTACGATAGCGTTTTTATTCACTGGGCGAGAGCTAGAGACTGAGCCATGTCGGTTCAATCTCCCMTGTAAATAAATAAATAAATGGTAAACAGAGATCTCACAGTGATGCCTGAACGTGATGTCTCGAGCTCACTTGTTTTGATGTGTCTAATGTAAGTGGGCGGGTAATAAAAGCTTCATTTAGAGGCTAGCTTCTTCATAGATGCTGCTTGGAGGCCCCTGGGACGTTGCAGTTCTGGAATTTTCCTCTTGTGGAAACATCAGTGGATAATAATTGATAAAACAGAGCACGCACACATGCACACAAAGCACTCCAGCAACAGTCTCTTTTCCTAGACTGCTGGGTGTCAGCTGCAGAGGTCCGTTTAGCTTTCACAGGTTATATACCCACATGGGTGCCCACATCTGCACCCCTCAAATTGTTGTCATTACAATGACCCCCTGGGGAAGTACCATGGGGTGGAGTGTGGAGATGGTAGTGTGTGAGGCATGGATTAATAATAGGGAAATAAAGGAGCCCTTGATCCCCAACAATACAGTTGGGGATCAGTGGATAGTGGCACCCACAATATTTCCTCCAGTTGGGTACCCACAGTATTTCCTCCAGTTGCTGTCTAGTGAGAGGCCAGCCTTGCGTTTGCATTCAATGTGAGGAAAGCCATCCAAGGGTGAATATTGTCCACAATGTTATTTTTTGATCTGCTCATAGGTTATGCAACTTCTTTTTTAGGTAACTGAGTCTTCAACAGCATCTGGTTTAGTGTCTGATAGGTCTTTGTAGCATCTCTTTCCAGTTGGAGGCCTGTGGCCAGTGGTGTCCC